ACTTCTCAGCCTACTATGCAAGGCCCGATTTGCCTAATAAGCCAAGTTTTCAAGAATTAATTGTTTTTCGACTACCTAACCTACATAACCTAACCTAACCTAACTTTTTCGGCTACCTAACCTATAAAGATAGGTTAGGTTAGGTTAGGTAGGGTTGGTTAGGTTCGGTCATATATCTACATTAATTTTAACTCCAATAAAATAAAATTGACCTCATACATAATGAAATAGGTAGGTTTATCATTTCATAAGAAAAAAAATTAGAGAAAATATATTAATTCAGGAAAACTTGGCTTATTAGGCAAATCGGGCCTTGCATAGTAGACTGAGAAGTGTGTTCTGGCTACTAGGTACGACATATATATATATATATATATATATATATATATATATATATATATATATATATATATATATATATATATATATATATATATATATATATATATATATATATATATATATATATATATATATATATATATATATATATATGTTGCACCTAGTAGCCAGAACGCAGTACTCGGACTACTATGCAAGGCCCGATTTGCCTAATAAGCCAAGCTTTCCTGAATTAATATATTTTCTCTAATTTTTTTCTTATGAAATGATAAAGCTACCCATTTCATCATGTATGAGGTCAATTTTTTTTTATTGGAGTTAAAATTAATATAGATATATGACCAAACCTAACCAACCCTTTCTAACCTAACCTAACCTATTTTATAGGTTAGGTTAGGTAGCTGAAAAAGTTAGGTTAGGTTAGGTAGGTTAGGTAGTCGAAAAAACATTAATTCATGAAAACTTGGCTTATTAGGCAAATTGGGCTTTGCATAGTAGGCTGAGAAGTGCATTCTGGCTACTAGGTACGACATATATATATATATATATATATATATATATATATATATATATATATATATATATATATATATATATATATATATATATATATATAATTTATTTATTTAATTGAAAATGACAAAGTTTTAGATTTATAATTCTGGCACAAATCTTCTCGATATTGCTTATGTTTTTCTTCACTGAAGCAGGACATTGAAAAATGAACTCTCCAAAGGAGATTTACAGTGCACAAACAACAGGGCTCCATCAAGGAACATATGATCGGCACACACAATGAGACGATCACCAGGGATATTTTGACGAGCAACACCAAAATAATTGATAGATACAATGACAATACAAGATTAGACATCTGTGAAGCGCTGCATATCAAGAAATCTAGACCAGCAATCAATAATCAGCTAATACACATGGAGGCGATGAGTCACAATAATGTGGCTAAAGTATGTTGACCAGACCACACACTAGAAGGTGAAGGGACAAAGACGTTTTGGTCTGTCCTGGACCATTCTCAAGATCGACTCGAGAATGGTCCAGGACGGACTGAAACGTCATCGTCCCTTCACCTTCTAGTGTGTGGTCTGGTCATCAGCTAATACACTTAAAGACCCCGGGCCAACACAGAAGCTGGACTGAATGACCCTGCAACAGGAACGGAAGCAGCAAGAAAAACATATATATATATATATATATATATATATATATATATATATATATATATATATATATATATATATATATATATATATATATATATATATATATATATATATATATGTATGTATGTATGTGTGTGTGTGTATCATGAAAATAAACACGTGATTAAAAATGTGACAGTGTCAGACCACGGAGGAAAATTGAAACAGGAATTTTCTTAAGTACTTTTGTATATTAATACATCTTCAGAAGGAGTGATATATATATATATATATATACATATATATACAGTGGCACCTCGATTAACGAGTTTAATCCGTTCCGGCACCGAGCTCGTCATGTGGAAAACTCGTCTTGCGAAACAACAACAAAACTGTCATAAAAGGTGTTCAAGAACCAGCAGAAACGCTTGTTAATCAAGGAAAAGCTCGTTAGTAGAGACAAATGTTCTGCGAGTGGCTTGCTCGTTACTCGAAATGCTCGTAGATAGTGCCACTCGTTAATCGAGGTGCCACTGTATGTATATATATATATATATATATATATATATATATATATATATATATATATATATATATATATATATATATATATATATATATATATAGTGTACACACACACACACACACACACACCTGAAGGTAAGAGAGTTAATATTTGAAAACCCTCGAGATATTGATATAATGGCATTGCAGGTCTGGAATCAGGATGATAAGCTGATAATTGTAAATGCCTACAGTCCACCAGCAAGCAACACATGGACAAAGGAAGAACTGGATGTTAAACGAGAGGGCCTCATAATGGTCATGAGAGATATTATTGTACAAGCAGATAAAGATAAATCACGACTGTTGATACTGAGGGACTTCAACTTTAAAGCAATAGACTGGGAGGCCTATGAAGCAAGAACGGAGGACTTTTGGACATGCAGATTTGTGAACCTCATTCTGGAGACATTCTTGTATCAACACATAAAGCAGGCCACAAGAATGAGGGAAGGAGATGTACCATCAGTACTGGATCTAGTATTCACCAGGAAAGAAGAAGAGATATTTGACATCCAGTACCTTCCTCCCTTGGGAAAGAGTGATCACGTCCTGTTAGACATTGATTATGCTTTAAGATATCATCTAGAAGAAAATGGGGACATTGATACAGTTGATAAACTCGATTTAAGGAGAGGACACTATGGGGAACTTCGAAATTTTTTCAATGAGTGTAATTGGACAGAATTGTTGCTAGGCAGGGAAGTAAATGAAATGTATGCCAAATTTTTTAAAATATACAAGGAAGGCACACAAACATTCATACCAAAACAGAGATGCAGGGCCAGAAAACAGGATTGGTTCGACAGAAATTGTGAGAGGGCAAGAGACCAAAAGACATAAAAATGGAATCAGTATAGGAAGAGGCCAAACCCCCAAACATACCAGCGATACAAAGATGCGAGAAACAACTATACGGCAGTAAGGAGAGAGGCAGAAAGAAATTTTGAAAAAGGGATAGCGGATAAATGTAAAACAGAACCGGGCCTGTTCTACAAATTCATAAACAACAAATTGCAGGTAAAGGATAATATCCAGAGGTTGAAAATGGGAAACAGATTCACGGAAAATGAAAAGGAAATGTGTGAAACATTAAATGAAAAGTTCCAAAGTGTGTTTGTACAAAATGAAATCTTCAGAGAACCAGACACAATAAGAATTTCAGAGAACAACATAGAGCGGATAGAGGTGTCTAGAAATGAAGTGGAAAATATGCTAAAAGAGCTCGGTAAGAACAAAGCAGCTGGCCCAGATGGCGTTTCACCATGGGTTCTGAGAGAATGTGCATCTGAGCTCAGCATTCCACTTTGCTGCATGCCTGATCAGCATGCCTGATCTTTCAGGCATCCCTGTGTACAGGAATCATAGCAGATGTGTGGAAACAGGCTAACATAGTTCCAATCTACAAAAGTGGCAGCAGGGAAGACCCCCTCAATTATAGACCTGTATCATTGACAAGTGTAATAGTGAAAGTATTGGAAAAACTAATCAAAACTAAATGGGTAGAACACCTGGAGAGAAATGATATAATATCAGACAGACAGTATGGTTTTCAATCTGGAAGATCCTGTGTATCGAATTTACTCAGTTTCTATGATCGAGCCACAGAGATATTAAAGGAAAGAGATGGTTGGGTTGACTGCATCTATCTGGACCTAAAAAAGGCTTTCGACAGAGTTCCACATAAGAGGTTGTTCTGTAAACTGGAAAATATTAGAGGGGTGACAGGTAAGCTTCGAAAATGGATGAAAAATTTCCTGACTGACAGAAAAATGAGGGCTGTAATCAGAGGCAATGAATCGGATTGGAGGAATGTCATGAGTGGAGTACCACAGGGTTCAGTTCTTGCACTGGTAATGTTTATTGTCTACATAACTGATCTACCAGTTGGTATACAGAATTATATGAACATGTTTGCTGATAATGCTAAGATAATAGGGATGATAAGAAATCTAAATGATTGTCATGTTCTTCAAGAAGACCTGGACAAAATAAGTATATGGAGCACCACTTGGCAAATGGAATTTAATGTGAATACATGCCATGTTATGGAATGTGGAATTGGAGAACATAGACCCCACACAACCTATAAATTATGTGAGAAATCTTTAAAGAATTCTGACAAAGAAAGGGATCTAGGGGTGGTTCTAGATAGAAAACTGTCACCTGAGGACCACATTAAGAACATTGTGCGAGGAGCCTATGCTACACTTTCTAACTTCAGAATTGCTTTTAAATACATGGATGGAGAAATACTAAAGAAATTGTTCACGACTTTTGTTAGACCAAAGCTGGAATATGCAGCAGTTGAATGGTGCCTATATCTTAAGAAGCACATCAACAAACTAGAAAAGGTGCAACGACATGCTACTAAGTGACTCCCAGAACTGAAGGACAAGAGCTACGAGGAGAGGTTAGAGGCATTAAATATGCAAAAACTAGAAGATAGGAGAAAAAGAGGTGATATGATCACTACATACATAATAGTAACAGGAATCGATAAAATTGTTAGGGAAGAATTCCTGAGACCCGGAACTTCAAGAACAAGAGCTCATATTTTTAAACTCACGAAACAAAGTTAGACATATAAGAAAATTCACTTTTGTAAACAGAGTGGTAGACGGTTGGAACAAGTTAGGTGAGAAGGTGGTGGAGGCCAAAACCGTCAGTAATTTCAAAATGTTATATGACAGAGTGCTGGGGAGATGGGACACCACGAGCGTAGTTCTCATCCTGTAACTACACTTAGGTAATTACACACACACACACACACACACACACACACACACACACACACACACACACACACACACACACACACACACACACACACACACACACACACACACTAGGTAATTACACACACACACACACACTGTAATATGTTTTGGCAATATATGTACAGTATGCTTCAGTCAAAATTTTATTTTCCAGCTCCTGAGGTGATTAACTTTGAACCAGTGAATCTCTACACTGACATGTGGTAAGTTTCAATCTACTTTATGAGATAGGAATAGCTTAACATTTACAAAATTATTTTAATAAATTTATGAAGTAAACTGGGTTACAATAATTGTGCATACAGTAAATTTAAAAAGAAAATTAAAAGAATTTGGTCATCCAATGAAAATTAATGTTACTGTTCTGTTATAAAACATGTTTCAATTTATATCCACAAATTTTTATTGTGGAACAGGTCGAGAAATTATTACTGGGGTAATAATTTACCAACCACTGGAACCTCCAGTGGTTTCCAAACCAATGTCATGGCCCAAATGAGGCTCACGAGGATTTCCATGTTGTTGCTGAAATGTCTCGGAAGAACATAAAATGTTCATAATCAAATATGACAATTACATTTAAGTGAGAAATTATTGAAGCCATGCAATGGAACTGAACCTGTATCCCTGGACTTCTCAGGCACAGGATGTGGGTTTTATCCTATTGTTGATCTTCAATATTTTCTCATAGATACATCACATTCTTGTAATTTCATTGTACAATTACATGCATTTTGACTCGGGAAGTGGAAAAGGTTCCCTCTCCTCTGACAATATACTTATGTGAAGGAACATGTTCAGGTTCTGTGGTGATTAAGACTAACTCTGGGACCTTTGTGGATCCTCAGCATGACTTGCATTGTGCTTTGTCCATCAACATAAAGCCGAAACTGGAAGGCTCACCTAGAAAATAAAGTAACATCATGGTAGTCATTGCAAAATATCTGAATTGTTTCCCAACTATTTTAACCATCAGATTTTCATTAAAAGTTATGCTACAGTATATGTTTTGTCAGACTAAAGAGTTATTGAAATTTACTGGTTTAGCTATTTAAATTTTAAAAAAGGTAATATATAACACTATAAAATATATAAAAATAGTAACAATTAAAACTACATGCACCATCCCTCTGCATCACCAGGCTACCTACCTTCTCTCTACCTTGTTAAGGTTCCAGGGATCAAAGACCCGCAGCCTGGTATGCAACCAGGCCTCCCAGTTGGTTTTCTGGTCAACCAAGCTGTTGGCCATAGCTGCTCACATCTTGACATATGAATTACAGCTTGATTGATCAGGTATTCTTTGGAGGTGTTTATCAAGTTCACTCTTGAACAATGCGAGAGGCCGGCCAGTTATGCTCCTCTTGTGTAGTGGGAGAGTGTTGAAAAGTCTTGGGCCCTTGGTGTTGACAAGAATTTTTCTTCAGCGTACCTATTTCACCTCTGATTTTTATCTGATTAAAAAAGTTTGGGAAACATTGTTATACACAAATCACAAGAACATTATCACTTTATTTTGTCTACTGGATGCTTTTGATGTCAATACAATTGCAGGTTCTTGGTTAAATATACCATAAATCAAAGTCAAATTCTTTATTTGATGTAGAGTAAAGTAGGTAAATAATATGGAGGTAAAATGGTAATTACTTCTAAGCTCTCATTTTCCAGCATACACACCTCAGTGAAATTATTAAAATATACAATAATATTCAACATATCGTTACTATAACTACAAGAATGGACATATTTAAAGTGCACTACTGTACTTAATATCTAAAACAAGAGTAATGATACTCTTGTATTATTAACTAGTGTAAAACCTTGGTGTAATACCTTAAACTAATTACTCTATTAGTTAAATGCACAACAAAGTAAATATTGTAGTGCATTTTATTATCATTTTACAGTAATATGACAATTCTTCATATTGTGACTGTTGTGGTATCGCAGCTATACTGAACCAAGATGGTATGATTCTCCCTCACATAAATAAAAAAAAATGCTGCTATTGGCCTTGCAGTGTGTAAGTCGCAGGTGGAAACAAATGAAAATCATCAAATAAATAATTAAAACAATTTACTGAAATATTAATGAACAAAATTGGCACTTGAAAATACTTGGCTATTATGTAATGCAAAGGTGAACTAGATAATATGACATTAATACAAAAATAAACTGTAAGCAATGAATACAAAGCATAAAGATATACTGGTGTACTGAAGACAGCTATCATACCACTATGGCATCAGACACACGGCGTTGGCTGAAGGCAGACGACGGGTGAGAGAGACCAAGGTGTTCCAGGAGCACTAAGAGAGAGAGAGACTGGCTCTCCAGGGAGGCGGTGCCCCTTATATAGTCTGGCGGTGATGACTCATCCTGTGTCAATGCAAGGTGGACATCTGGTCAACTAGCAAACTGCTCGTTGTGGCTGGCAGTGCCTTTGTGTTGAGCTGCACCACTGCTAGTTGAAGGCGGCTAACTGCTTGTTTGTGAAGACAAACTACCGATTAGCAGACCACCTCTTTGTCCTGTTGCCACAAGACGGTGAGCTGGCAGGACTGATGACTCATTTGGTCTGGTGTAGCTGTAGACTTCCAGTGCAGAGGCATTCAAGGTGAAGGGAAAAGGCAGTTCCACTGCTATGCAGGGGATTCACATGACAGCTCCTCCCTGAAGCCTTTTCCTAATGCTTAAGATGTCGATGCTGGAAGGAGTGTGGAAGCGGAAGGTTCCACTTCATGAACACGCGATAGTGCGTCCGCAACTATGTTGTCTGATCCTTTGATGTAGAAGATCAGAACGTTGTAGTTTTGTAGGTACAAGGTCCAACGAAGTAGACGCTGGTTGGAGAATTGGGCTTGTTGTAGAACACAAAGAGGATTATGATCGGAATAGATGGTGATGGGTTGCTGTCCTTGAAGGTAAGGTTCATATCGTTGCAAACATAGGACAATGGTGAGTAGCTCCTTCTCTCTAGTGCTGTAGTTTTGTTGGTGAGGCTTCAGCTTGTAGCTGTAGTAGCTGACTGGTAGGACTTTCCCCTTTCTCTGCTGCATCAGGACACCCCCAATGCCGGTGCTGCTGGCATCAACATTAAGGATGAAGGGTTGTTTCACATCTGGAGAGGCGAGAATATGGTTAGTACACAGCAAAGTTTTCAATTGTGAGTTGGTCCATATGTATTGGAATATATTGGGCTGGTAAGAGTGATTAACCACTTAACTGTGCCAGCCGAGTATTTTCGGTCGGCGGGAAACTGCGCCAGTGGAGAAAACTCTTTTTGATTTTTTGGTACCCATTCGAATCGCGCGCGCGGTTGATTGTGTACGAGATGGATGCCTGAGGCCGTCAGTGAACAGCAGCCATTTTGAAAAAAAATCCCAGAATGCCCCAGGCCCGAGGGTAGCCTCAGTTTTGATCAAGAAACCATGGCTGACGCATGTGCCTCCAGCTCCCAGTCATCTGTGGGACACGCTGTTGCAAAACTGCTTTCTCTAGGGGAGATAAACAGTTTATTGTTTGAGGATGAAGTGGAATATTATATTGATGACCCAAGGATTGATAGATACATAACTTAAGGGTCTAGTGGAAGTGAAATAGATACAGATGAAGACGATATAGTGAGCGCGTATCGTTCAGGGCGAGCGGCACGCACAGTGAAGCATCACAGGTCATAGCCCTTGCCAGAATTATCCCCACTACCACCACCTCTATCTCCTATTTTTGACGAAAGTGATACTATTGAGTCATTTTCTGGGTTTAGTGATGCTGCTTCTGATACAAGTAGCATAGATGAGGCAAGGGCTAGCAGCTGCCGTCGTCGCGGTGTCACCAGGTGCAGATCTGTTGTCTCAGCAGGTGGCCCTGCCAAGCGCCACCATGTATTCCCTCTCGACGACACTGATGACAGTGTTGCCTCTACATCTACTTTCCCTGCTCACCCTACTAGTAGACAAGGTTGAAGACCTCCAACTCCTCCCCAAAGGAGATTTAGTGCAAGAAAACACACCCGTAGTGGAGTCGCTCGTAACGGTGCTAAAAGGAGAACAATTGAATTTGTGTAATTATCTAATTGTAATTACCTAAGTGTAGTTACAGGATGAGAGTTACGCTCGTGGTGTCCCGTCTCCCCAGCACTCTTTGTCATATAATGCTTTGAGATTACTGACGGTTTTGGCCTCCACTACCCTCTTACTTAACTTGTTCTAACCGTCTACCACTCTGTTTACAAAAGTGAATTTTCGTATATTTCTCTGGCAGCTTTGTTTCGTTAGTTTAAATCTATGACCTCTTGTTCTTGAAGTTCCCGGTCTCAGGAATTCTTCCCTATCAATTTTATCGATTCCTGTTACTATTTTGAACGTAGTGATCATATCGCCTCTTTTTCTTCTATCTTCTAGTTTTTGCATATTTATTGCCTCTAACCTCTCCTCGTAGCTCTTGCCCTTCAGTTTTGGGAGCCACTTAATGGTATCTTGTTGCACCTTTTCCAGTTTGTTGATGTGCTTCTTAAGATATGGGCACCATACAACCGCTGCATATTCCAGCTTTGGTCTAATAAAAGTCATGAACAATTTCTTTAGTATTTCTCCATCCATGTATTTAAAAGCAATTCTGAGGTTAGAAAGTGTAGCATAGGCTCCTTGCACAATGTTCTTAATGTGGTCCTCAGGTGACAGTTTTCTATCTAGAACCATCCCTAGATCCCTTTCTTTGTCAGAATTCTTTAAAGATTTCTCACATAATTTATAGGTTGTGTGGGGTCTATGTTCTCCAATTCCACATTCCATAACATGGCATTTATTCACATTAAATTCCATTTGCCAAGTGTTGCTCCATATTCCTATTTTGTCCAGGTCTTCTTGAAGGGCATGACAATCATCTAAGTTTCTTATCCTTCCTATTAATTTAGCATCATCAGCAAACATGTTCATATAATTCTGTATACCAACTGGTAGATCAGTTATGTAGACAATAAACATTACCGGTGCAAGAACTGAACCCTGTGGTACTCCACTTGAGACATTTCTCCAGTCTGATACATTGCCTCTGATTACTGCCCTCATTTTTCTATCAGTCAGAAAATTTTTCATCCATGTTAGAAGCTTACCTGTCACCCCTCCAATATTTTCCAGTTTCCAGAACAACTTCTTATGTGGAACTCTGTCGAAAGCCTTTTTTAGGTCCAGATAGATGCAGT